AATTTTGAGACAGAGTTTCACTCTTGTTGCCCAGGCTGGAGTGCAATGGCATGATCTCAGCTCACCACAACTTCTGCCTCCCGGTTTCAAACGATTCTTCTGCCTCAGCCTCCTGAGTAGCTGGGATTACAGGCATGCACCACCACACCTGGCTAATTTTGTATTTTTAGCAGAAATGGGGTTTCCTCCATGTTGGTCAGGCTGGTCTTGAACTCTCGACCTTAAGTGATTTGCCTGCCTCAGCCTCCCAAAGTGCTGAGATTACTGGCATGAGCCACCATGCCCAGCAAAGACCTCTTTAAGATAATTCTCCCCTATATATCAGAGCCTTAGCTTTACTATCTCCATGCAGACTTCTTCTGTATCACAATACTTACCTTGAATTCATACCCTGAAATATTGAAAGTATTCCCTTTGTTTACAGATCAGCCTGGGCAGGTGGGGATATAAAACATTCTTATTGGAGCTGGTGCTGGGTCCTCAGATATCAGTGAGGAGAAAAGCACATCGTTTAGGTTCCATCTGAATGCCCCATCAGCTCTGTGAAGAATGTAATTTTTTAATGTACACTTAAAAAGGGTAGAATTAATAGCTGGGAATAATTTAGAATGATATGTAAAGGAATTCAAAGAAATATGCCTTCTAGAATTCTGAGAGCGTATTTAAATACACTATTAGAAATTACAAAACATGGGCAACATATGTTGCTTGAAATTTACATAAAACACATTGTTTATGATTAGATTCATATTACGATTTACATTTTTTGGCCAGTAATCTCACAGAAGTCATGCTGCATACTTCTATATGTATCAGCACCTGATACCAACCTGTTCTATTAATTTTATTTACTTTGTTAACATGTTTTCTGAAGGATTTCTTCACTATAAAGTTACTTTTTTTTAAGACAGGGTTTCACCATGTTGGTCAGGCTGGTCTTGAACTCCCGACCTCAAGTGATCCACCCACCTTGGCCTCCAAAGTGCTTGGATTACAGGCATGAGCCACCACGCCCGGCCTTAAAGTTACTTTTTTTTTTTTAATCACATTTAATCTGAAAGCTCCTTTGTCACACTAAGTGTCAGCTACCAACCCAAGCTGAGATCTGATGGGAGTGTGTGGCCAAATGGTGGGTTGCTGGGAAAACACTCGAGGAATTGCGGGCAGTTTTGCATGTCCACCTGTCTGTGTATTCCTTACACACAATTACGACTCAGAGCCAAGTATGAGCTTCCACAACCAGGTTACATGATGAGCAGAATTGTGCACCTGCACTCCAAGCTCACTGAGTCATGCTGAAGCAGATGTTTACCTCAACCCGTTCTTAACCACAGCACATCCATTTGTCTTACATGTCTTTTCTTAATAGTTTCTCTTTGTTTATACCTTGCTTTGGAAAATGAAGGCTGTCATCTTTGTTTACCGGTCACATACACTGGGATAAAACCCAGGTTCTATCACTTACTAGATGTTTTACAAAGTATTTTTCTTAAGCTAGAATCATTGACATCGTTCATGGGTTTGTTAGCAGGGGAGTAACTCACGTCTCATCCAAGATCTCTTGAATTGGAATACACATTTTAACAAAATCTCCAGTTGATTGATGGATACATTAAAATGTGAGCGGTACCTTCTGACTTACTGTGACTTCTCCATATGAGAACGGTACTCAACTTACTCTGTATAATGTAAATATGGCACTCAAAACTATACACTTGTGTTTATGCCTAATTTTATGCTGTATCTTTCAGAAAACTATAGTACCTACTCTGGCTTTGTGGATCTTACTTCATCCTCTTTCCTCATAATGAGGGAATACGTTAGATAATCTTTCTCTATTAAACGGTATTTTATTGGATAGTTCCAGTCACCCATGTAAAACAGAGCCAGCTCTCTTAACTCTCAAACACCTAGAGTAAAATTAACAGTTCTGCCCATGGCCACTTGGGGTGTTTGGGTTTTTTTAGGCAGTCTTATCATTCATGGCTGTGGCCATAGAATTCTCTCAGGAGGAGTGGGAATGTCTGAATCCTGCTCAGTGAAATTTGTATAGAGGCGCAATGTTAGAGAACTACAGAAACCTGCTCTAGGTGAGAATAAATTTTCCCCATATTTCCTAATATACCCTAAGGCTTCTATTTTCTCCCTTTGTTGAAT